TCTATAGTGCAGCAGTGCACATGGAGAAAGCTCTGTGGATCTTCTCTCTCTCTCCTAGGCATACAGTATATAACAACATCAGCAGTCACTCTAGTTGTAGAGGCAGCTCTCTACTTTCCCTCCTTAGTAGTTTTGGCCAATTCCTACTGCTGCTATTAATATATGCAAGTCTTTGCAGGACGTAGGAGATGTCACTGCAGAGATTTAACCTTACATTGTGTGTGGGGAGCTTTTATGTTTTGCATGTATAAAAAGGCTGGGGGCATTTGTTTGTTTTAATCAAAAAGTAGTTTCTATAAACATTGGAACTCGTATAGGAAAGACTCTTAATTTTCTTTAGGTGATAGGTGTTTTGTAAAGCTTTAATTCTACATCATCATAAAGCAAACTTTGAAAATATCCAGAGTTGGCATAGATAACCACGAAAAGGTATAGATGCAACAGACATTTACACAGGCTAAACTTCACTAACCTGGAGAGCGTAGACAAAAGGAGGAACTCTGATAGTAAAACTGAAATTCAGAGCTTTTCTGTATCAGGAGTGGTTGATCTATGGCATGAGTGTCACGTGGCAGATTGGGGAGGGGGCAGGCGGCACAATGGTAAATAGGGCAAGGAGCACAGGACAGGAAACAGAAAGCAGAGCAGCAGATCAGGTGGGAAGAGGATCAGAGTGGCACTTGAGGGGGTAGAGCTGTTTGGCAAAGGTTGGCCCCCATTGTTCAATGTCATTCACTACTAGAGGAGGTCATGGACACTAGCAGTTCAACAGGCTTTAAAATGAATTGGATAACTTTCTGAGTATTAACATTTGCAGTTACAAGAATAAAATGTTAATATAAAAAATAGAAACTATGGGTAAAAAACTGATAGTCATGGTTGTTCTCAATTTTAGTCATTACAGGCATGACAGGTTAGGGGAGAGAAAATTGATAATGTTATGGCAATTATGTAGATTATGAGCTGGGGGAATACAGGTCGGGGCACATGAATAAATTATACTCATGGCAGACAAAGATCTGGTGGGGGGGGTTTGGTTTGTTTTTTGTTTTAAATGAGCTGTGGAAATATTGTGCCCTGAAACATGTTTTTTCTTATAGCCCCAATTCACCTCTGAATGAATTGGGGCTAAATTTACCAACCTCTAAAATGCCTGCCTTAAAATGCAGAGCCTGCTTGTTTCTCTCGCTTTCATTGCAGACTGTTTGTTGTGCGCAACTGCCACATTGAGATTTTTGCATCAGGTTTATGTCTTGAGCTTTCCCTGTACGCTCTTGTGATTATAGTCACAGACAAGCAGTGAAATGCAAGTAGATTTTGGTACAAAGATAACTTTGGTGGTTAACGGACAAGAAAGTAGTTGTTATGAAAGCAAGTATACAGCTTTCATATTTTTCAGACTGTATTTTTAAATTATGTTAGAAAACGGTGAATGGTATCCTTATTTATTCATTTGTTAAGGTTTTGCTTAAGCTTTGTCTCAAACAGCTGCTTTAAGATCATAATTGGAATTGGGTGCCTGTGATGACTTTGGCCAGACACTTGCTTCCAGCTTCACAACTGTTGGTTCCCACAGAGAATCAAGCCCTAAATATAGGATTCATGAAATATGTGTCCTAGTCATAAAAGTTGGCCTCAAAAATTATATTTTTGTGCCCAGTTTTTTTTCTTTATAGAGAAAAGAGTATGCAAGCTAGAGCTGAAAGCTCTAAAATAGAGACTCTTGGGTCCATACTTATTTATTCTATTATTTATTTCTTAAGAGATTATAACAAGTCTAGGTGCTAGCATATTTTGAAATCAGTTTCATTTTTAGAGAAAAATACTAAAATATAACTAATAAAAATCAAAATGTAATTAAAAAGCATTGCATCAGCCTTATCTGTCTGATTTCAGGTTTCTTCTCATATCCTGGCTACTTAGTGGTTTTGAGTAATGACGACAGTAGTACTGTATCTCTTTATGCATTCTGGCTTCTTGTCAAATCTATTTCCATTTCTCACCATTGGTTTCTATACCTGGCTTTCTGTATCCCCCATCTTATCCATATTGTCCAGTATCACCTCTAGCTGGCTTCCTCCTGTAACATTTTCTTCAGTTGAATCACAGTCTCCTGTTGGCTATCTTCTGTTTCACACTTCAATTTTATCACAAGTCCATTCTCATCAGGGTCCTCACCTCAGTCTGCTCTCCTCCGTGTCTGTGCCCCAGCTCTTATCCTCTGTGTTTTTTCAGTCATTTGGCTTCGTTCTCTTCATTGTTGCTTTGGGCCCAGCAGGGAGGTTTGAGAGAATAGAGGGGACAGGCTTCCTGCCATCAGTGCCATTTTAGTGCTGCTAGGGGAATGGAATATATTTAGTAATTTAGTGGAGACAGAAGATATTACTCTACTCATCAGTAGAAGCTGTGATGGGTTGGAGCATGCTCAGTGAGGACTGAATCCTACTGAGCAATGAAAAAGCTATAAGCCTTTTAGGATGCTTAAACTGGATGACTCACAGATGAAAGTGAGGTGATCTTTCAACTAAAAACAAATTGCCTAGGAGCAAGTAATCACAGTCTAATATTTTAGACAAAAATAATATAATACTGAGTAATGTATGGTGCTTTTTTAAAGAGGTCAGTTCCCCAAACCTGAAAATAATCATGAACAGAATTGAGGGGGAGGAAAAATATGAGCACAAAAATGTGAATAACTAGTACTTAAGGGTTTTTAAGCTCCCCTAAATAATTATTCAATTATGAGGTTTCTCACTAAAAAAAAAAAAAAAAAAGAGAGCGCATTTAATTTAAATGGGAAGCGAAGGCAGCTATAAATATGCACATACGTATGTGCGTAAGAAATGGGGGACTTGGCTGCAATATAAAAGGACAGTTAAGATGCAGACACTTGAGAGAAGGCGAAGGTATTACTGAAGTGCATAGCTAATAAAATTAAGGGCAATAAGGAATTTTTCAAATATATGAGCAACAAACTAAATCCTAGTAGTGCTATCGATCTGATAGTAGAAAAAGATGGTAAATTGTTGAATGTGACAAACACGAGGCCAAAGTAGTCTGCCTGTGCCACATCCTCAAGCAGTGAATTCCACAAGTTACCTACGCATTCCATAAAAAAATACTCTCTTGCTAGTTTTAAACCTGTTGCGTATTAATTTCAGTGGTGTCCAGTAGTTGTAGTATACTGGGTCTTGGTGAACAGCAGTTTGTTGTTCACTTGGTCCATATCTTTCGTGACTTTAGAGACCTCTCACATTTTTCCCTCTCAGCTTTCTTTCCAGACTGAAGAGTCCTAGCCTTTTTAGTCGGTCTTGATCATTCTGTTTGCCCTTCTCTATCTTTTCTAATTCTGTTACAGCCTTTTTGAGATGTGGAGACGAGAACTTCACACACAATTCAAGATGTGGTCGCACCATGGATTTGTAAAATGGTGTGATAATGATCTCTGTTTTGTTGGGCATCATTTCTTAATTATGCCCAACATCTTAATCATTTCTTAATGATGCCCAGCATTTTTATTGACTTTCTGTTCAGTGCTGCACACTGAGCTGACATTTTTAGAGAACTGTCTACAATAACTCCATGATCTCTTTCCTGAGTCGTAGTATAAAAATGTAATACCAATTTCCATTAGTTGATTTTGAATTCAGGACATGAAATACAGCCGTTTAGTGCAGGGGTCAGCAACCTGTGGCCTATGGACCAATGTAGCCAGCAAAGAGATTTTATCCATCCCATTTAGCCAGGGAGATGGCAGCAATTGGTAAGGAGTGTGTGGGTAGAAATAGGTGCGGCAACCAACATAGGGAGGGAATCAGTGCCAGTGGCTTGCTATATACCCAACCTGTTAATTCAGCCTGCCATGCTGACCTCACAGGTGGAGCAAATATTACATGGTGGGCTCATCTACATGAGATGTTTACTGTGGAGCTGCCTAATTGGCTCCACAGTAGTCTCAATGCCTACATGTGTGGCCCTTTTAGGCCACAAGAAACTAATTAACTCCACCACAGGTTAGTACTTCTAAATACAAGTACTGCCCTGCGGTGGAGTTCTTTAGTGCACAGTAGTGCATGTGTAGACACTGACTGGGCTGCCTGGGGCACATGGGTGCTTCAGTGTGGGTGGCTGCCTGCTGGCTAGCCCTGCATTGGAGCACCCTTGTGCCCCAGCCAGTCCCTCAGCAGCGTGTTGAGGTGGGTCAGAGCAGCCCTGGGCTGGCAGGCTGACCCTCCAGAACTCTGCCAGCTGGGGCTGCTCTGACCCAGTCCAACATGCTGTGTTCCCTGGTGCATGTCCAAATGTGGCACCCAGGAGCAATAAATTCCAGCACGACATGTACTTGAGTTTATTGCTTTGTGCTAATAGCTCACGTGGATGCACCCAATATGTTAGGAAGCTGTCGTTTTAATATTGTGACCATTTTTTAAAATTATTGTTCTCATGGAAGGCTCATTCTTAATTTGATGATGCATTTGTGATTGAGGATTGTACGAATTTAAAAAATTGTCCAACTTGGAACATGTGCTTGTTTGAAATATAAAGCTAAAGGAGGTATTAGAAATACGATACACAATTACAGAGGAACGCCTCTGGTGAAAAGAGTTTCATCCCTGCATGCCCTACCCTAGTTTTTTACCTTGGGCAAAATGTTCTTTTTCTGATGTAATATTGGTTGACAAGCCTATGTAAATTGTCCTTTTCTGAAGATCAGATTGAAGTCACACGTGGTTGTTAGGAAGGAAAAGTATATCAGTCTTAACATTTTTAAAATGGAAATCTGTTCTTTAATAGCAACATCAATTAAAATATTTTTTTTTTAAGTATTGTAAATATAAGTATGAGTTGTAAAAATACCGTGGCTTTTTTTAAAATCCCGACTTGATTTTTGAAGCAGATATAAGATTTTTCTGATTCATAAAGCATGTTTTCTATACCTATTTTCAGAATTTTAAATTGGTGAATATGTATTTGATTAATTCTTTTTCTTTGTCATATAGTTCTTCTACCTTTGATAGATCGGATGGGAGATGCCAAAGACCAAGTTCGAGAACAAGCCCAGAATCTCATATTGAAATTAATGGACCAGACAGCATCGCCAATGGTATGATCACTTCTGAAAAATTCAGACTTAGGCCCGTATCTGCATTTACTCACAAATATGATGTTGTATGTATGAGTAGTGGTATTGAAGTCAAAGCATGTAAATGTTAGTGGGATCATGGTTTTAAAGCAAAGTAGTCCAAAACTATTAATAAATTATTTGAAGATTAGAAATCTGGTAGAAAGCAAACAAGGTTCTTTGGATAAATCCAATATATTTTATTAGACCAACTTAAATAGTCAGAAAATTTCTTAACAAGCTTTTGGGCACAAACGCCCTTTGTCAGGCTGAGGAAATGTCTGTAAATGGTCTGTGCTCTTCCTGAATGGAGTGGCAAAGCAGCAAGAGGCCAGTATGTATGCAAGAGGGCCAGTCAGTGAAAATGTAGTCAGTTAAAACTGACTGGCCTTCTTGCATATGAACTGGCCTCTGGCTGCTTTACCACTCCAACTGTTTGAGTTGGTCTAATAAAAGATATTGGATTGACCCAAAGAACCTTGTCTGCCTATGTCCTTAGACCAATATGGCTACAGACCTACACTCCTGGTAGAAAGCAATACACTTCTCTGATAATAGTTAGATAGCATAACTATATCTTGACTGGTTGGGGCAAACAGGTGAGAGGGTAAGAGACTCTATTTGTTTTCTGTTAGTCTCCAAGCCTATAGCTCATTTTGTTTACATATTTTTTTTCATTTTATGTAATAAATCCTTCTGTTTGACTTGATTTCCAATGGAAAGAGTGATTTCTGGGCAAGTGATATTCTAGGCTGACTCTCCACAGAGTGAGGCACCAGTACTTTCTTCCACAATTCAAAGCATGGGCCACTTGGGGCCAGCTGGGTTCCCTCACTGTAACTGTAAGGGCAGAGGAATTGAGGTGCTGGGATAGGAAACTACTTTTGGAGCAGTCAGTCTGTTCCTTGGGCAAGTAACAGTGCAGTGGGGAGAAACTTAGGGCTCTGGAGATCTGCTGAATTGTGACATTGGTATTTTACTTTAAAATGTTATCTCTAAGATTACAGTTAATACTTCAAAACTGAGCTACATATTGCTTTTACAGTGCTCAGTGCAATGGGATCCTCTTGATGACTGGACCTTTTTAGATACTTGTGTAATGTTCATATTTGTATAGATGGTAAAATTGTAAGACTGCCTAACAGCATTTTGTATCTCGTAAACATCCTGAGTAATGTTGCTTAAAATATTGGTTGCCAATGGGCATGCAGCTGATAACTTGACTGTTATGAAGATTTTCTTCAGAAGTAATTCATAAGTTTAGGCAACACAATGAATGCGGACACTGGTTCACAAAAACAGAAAGAGGCTTTTCAGTTGTTAAAACCTGTAGTCAGATGTAGGACTAAACCCTGTGCAGTAGGACCTAACCTACCAGGGAGTTTTAATTGGCAAACTTCATCCTCAGTTAGAAAAAAATGAGCATTTTATTTCTGTAATAGAAGTAATATTAGTCCTGAAAGGAAAGCTTTTTAAGATCTTGTACATACTAAAGGATGGGCTAATTGGGGCCTGATGTTTTCTTCTTTGCAACCTGTTGTTGTTTATTTGTGCTATTTTACCAAGCAAACGCTGCTGCCCTCCTCTAGTTCATTCTTTTTACATATGATACAATGTGAGCAATTTTCAAATTATGCTTAATATTTTAATTTCTTAACCCTTTTCTTCTGGGTATCTGTTCTAAGCTGTAGCTATCTAATTATTAAAGATTGAAGTTTTATAGACAATATTACCTGGTTATATGACCTGCTGGTGCTGTTTGTTTGCTTTGTTGTTATTTTGCAGCAAGACAAATGCAATTTTAATGACTTATAGGATAAAATTATTTGTTTGATGTGATCATGCTATATTGGAATTGCAGTATTTGGAAAGTGTAGGATGCTGAGTAGACTGAGTAATGTGCTATGTCTCAGGCAGGGTGCAGTTGTTGCTAGGCAACATTTTCTCAGATGCTTGCTGGATTATAATGGCAGCACTGCAGTTGGGGGTTGCAGTTTGATCACTGGAAATCCAGGTCTTATAAACTCCCAGTTTGCAGCGTTAGCAAGGGTGATTTGATATAAAGCTCCAGAGCTACCGACAATTGGAGGATTAAAGAGATAGTGGTAAGTGACCAAATAAAAGACAGGCAACAGTATTGCAGGAGAGCAAGTGAGGGATTGTGTAGCTTAAAAATCATAATACAGGAAATCACAAGAGATCAACATAAAAGGAGAAATAAAAACAGAGGAGAAAGTAGAAGCAGGATAAATGAATGGGCAAGAAAAAAAATTCCCAATTGAAGAAATATGGAACACGGAAAGCAAGATTTAATGTACAGTGATCAGTTGGGTTTGGATAAGAGGGAACAAAAACTGGTTCTTGCAGGAAATTTTATAAGAAGTATGTGAAACGTTGAAGAAAATGGATAACAAATGCCTTTCAAACCATATTAGTTTGAAACTGAAGCTGGCTTTCCTGTTGTTCATCAAAAAGTAATATTAAAAATTAGAAAAAATAAGTGAAATATTGGACTATATTTTACAGGGACAAACCTTTTAATATTTCTGGCATAGTGTATTTTCTACTAAAAGTAAATAATGCATATGTAAGGAAAATGTTGACTAGTGTTCCATAAATCATGTAAAATAAGTTAATTTTGTAAAAAACAAAACAAAACAAAACACCCCCCTCCCAAAAAAAATCCCCCCCAAAACCCAACCTATTCCAGTAACCAGAACAGAACTGTTTTGATTTAGTTTTCTATGTATGCAGAACCTGGTGGTCCAAATATCATTACAGAAGATGAACAGAATTATATTGCATTGTGAGCCTAGTAATTAAAAACAATTGTTTTTGTTTTAATAGTACATTTGGGAACGCCTTGCTGTTGGTTTTAAGCACAAGAATAACCGATCCCGAGAGGGAGTGTGCTTGTGTCTTATTGCAACCTTGAATGCGTAAGTTTTCTTTGTTTCTTTTGGGTATAAAGTATTATAATTAGTATCCTATCTTGTTTCTCAATCACTTCTTTTTTTTTCTGAATATAACAGTTTAAGAAGCCTGATGTCTTTGCAAAATTATTCTTTTAAAAAGTGGAAAGTCTGCACACTTACACTTTCTGAGTTTTCTACAGTTTTCTGAAAGAATGATGCAAAGGCATGAGAAGCATTTAAAAAAAAAAAAATGTAACTAATGACCAGAGCAGGGACTCCAATCCATGTAAACGTTTATTGATGCTAAGCTACAAGGTCTTTTGCTCATAAAACATATTTTTTCCCTGTTGGCATGACACTTATTTTTGTTTGTTTTTGCAGTTATGGTGCACAATCGTTAATCCTCAACAAATTGGTTCCACACTTATGCATCTTGTTTGGAGACTCCAATAGTCCGGTAAGCATTTTATTGCTTGAGCAATTGTATTTTGATATGAGAGAGAGAGAATTTATGTTATATACTTAAGTTTTCTCTCTGGATTTGTTTGTCCATTTGTCCATGTCCACCTTATTTAGTCATGCAGCTTGGTTTTCTCACTGATCCATTTTTGCACGTGAAGACAGTTGTGGGGAAACAGTTCTGATAGTGTTCCTTTTTAAATTGGGTTTGGTAGAATGCTCTCAGTACAGTTGTTCCCTGTCTCTGGCAGGTTGAATTGAATCATTGTTAGATACAATTGTTTTCTGTATAATGTACTCAAAGAAAAGCAACACATAATAAACAGGAAGGACTGCCCTCCAAAAGGAGACTTAACTGACATATATTTTTAGGCCTTCATCAGTTTAACTAAGGAAGTATATTATCAAGTACAAGTTGAACCCTGTCTGCATGCATTTTTTTGGGAGGATTAAGAATTTACAGCTTAATTTCATCTCCAGGATGAAAATAGGGACAAATGGCTTTCTCTTGGACTATAAGATAGTCTTCAACAAGAAGTTGTTGAAATTAATTTTCTGGTTCACTTAAAATTAGGCTGGTCGAAGCATTGCAAAATGTATTAAGCATAATAGAGCTTTGCCAGAGGATGGACTAGATAGTATGTTTCAGCTTAAAAGCTAGCATCTTTAATTGGTAACTTTATTTTCCATCCTTACATTTCCAGCTGTTTGAAGTTAACTTGCACACTGGGTTGGCATAAGGTTTCATAATCATTAGGGGTCAGAAGGGACCTGAATAGTTCATCTAGTCTAACCCCCCGCCACTGGCTGGAGCACATGCTGGGATCACACGACCCCAGACAGGTGTTCATCCAACCTCTTTCTGAATTTACCCAAGGTAGGAGTGAGGACCACTTCCCTAGGAAGTTTGTTCCAGATCTTAGCCACCCTAACAGTGAAATAGTGTCTCCTAATCTCTAACCTGAACCTATTCTCCAGCAGCTTCTGGCCATTGTTCCTCATCACCCCAGGAGCTGCTGGGGGGAATAGGACCCTTGCTATTTGCTGCTTATCTCCCTGATAGATTGGTTATTTGGGCTACTATTTCACATATTTTATTACTTCTGTAATTTCTGTTAAAAAGTTCTTCAATTTCCATATGCATTCACAGGTGAGAGATGCTGCATTATTGGCAATTGTGGAGATTTATAGACATGTAGGGGAGAGAGTACGAGTAGACCTCAACAAGAGGGGAATTCCCTCTGCAAGGTGAGCTGTTTAATTTTTGTCACTAAATTATGATTAGTGCCTAGAATGCTTTAAAAGTATGCCTTTGTTAAGTATTTCATACCATTTTGTTACCATCCGTCAGTACATTTTCTTCCATCATGCTTTTTTAAACTTTGTAGGCCAACAAAAGTAATATCTGCCAGACCCTTTCAGTATCTGTTCTGCTGTCTTAAAACAGTAAAAAATACTGTCTAGTTTTTTTTCTTGCCCTTTCCATAAGTTTGATGTATTGTCAAAGTTGTGAACATACTGTCCAGGTTCCCTGGCATTTTGGCAACCATATGGTGCTTGATTTTTGTCGTAGTTTGCAGTTTCCCTGTGAACATTCATTTTGGTGGCTTTTTCCCATTAGAACAGGATTGTCTTCAAAGGAAAAATAAAGAAGGAACTTCAAGGAGTATCCTTGTGGCATTTTTGTTCTGCCAGATGACTGCTCATCCTGACAACCAGTCATGACTGTGCATTTAAGGAATGCCTTTAAGTATCATTACTATTCTAAAAGCCATGGAAAGCTCTCAAATGCTCCGAGAGGCTTCTCCAAATCTGGTCAGAAGTTTGTCATGGAGCTCTTGAAGCAGATGCATCAGATATATCAATCCCCGAGTGCTGAGAACGAGCTGTAATGTGCATTCTAAAGTCTCTGATACTGTGTTCTGCTTCAGTAACAGAGGCAAAATCTCATGAGAGGTGGTAAGTCAGTGACAGCTAGCAGCTTCCAGGTTGGTCTTTATGGAAGCACCCAGACTCCAGGTAGCACAATGTCAAAGTCTTAGGGTTTTTCTCTCCATTTATCATAGGAGCAAGATTCCTAGGTGACTGCCTGAATTCCTTGAGGCTGCTGTGACAAGCTCAGTGCTTGTTCCAAGACATTCCTTTTGCATTTACTCGGAAGAGTAGGGATAGTTCCTCTTATCACTGGACAGTTTTGTTTGCTTAAAATTATTGGGGAAGCTGAAGATCGGAGTAATGTAGGCTGCTACTGTGTGGCTTGGTATGGCCTGTTTTAATGTCTTTTTAGTGATACAGCTGCTATTTCCCAGTGTCAGCAAAAGCTATCAAAGATGGTTGATATTTTGTTGAAATTGGCCGTAGAGTGTGCTACAGATAAGGCCATGAATCAAGGACTTCTTTGTAATAAGATTGCTCACCCTTAGCACCTTCTTTTTGACCACTCAGTATATGTATGGCACCTTCTCACAGAGGTCCTGCTTTCTTCTAGGCAATCAAGATTAAATATATCTAACATTATTTCTGCCTGAGTTTGCCCCCGTTCTCCCATTTCCCCCCCCTCCCCTCCACCTCACCCACCCATATTGACAGAGTTTGTTACTTGTTGGATCTAGAGGGAAAATGAGCATCTTTAATGGCATGCAGATTTAAAATCTGAACTGTGATTATGGGACTTGCTGACAGGAGCAGTTTACCACTCTGCAACTGCAGCTTTTCCCAATCAAAGGGCAGGAAAAGCCATGAAAAAGAAAAGGCCTCTTTTGTGGTCTTTACTCTTTCTGAAGAGAAATGCTAAGATTTTATTTAAGTCTGTATGGCTGTAATCTGGTTTGAAATCAGTTACTAGTATCCTTTCATGGTTGCTATGGTGGTAAAGAAGAGTGTTGCACCAAGAGATCCATAGAAAGCTTTAGCTTCTGCCTTAAATTGGAACAAATATTTATCAGAAAAGAATGCTTTCAGATTCCACCCCTCTGCTCTCCCCCATGCCTCCCCTTCCCCGACCACCCACTCCTG